GAGAGATGGGCCATTTTCTAAAGACCCTGGTTTAATTCTTCCCAGCTCCTTCACTGACAAAGCTGCATGGTTCATCCCTAAATCTGGGGTGTCTCTTTGTCTGTCTGTAAATAAGGAGGACACTAGAGTAGACAATCCCCATTGCATTCCGAGACCAAATAGCGTCATTCAATCGTAGAGTAGGGCAGCCATATACACTGGGTTTCCTGGGACAGTTTCCATGTATGCCACTTGTTTCGGCTTAATGCCGTTACTCTTTTGCTCTCAGCCCCATCCCAGTATGGACGTTATATTATGAGGTCAGTTTATTTCTGGGAAAAGAAAGGTGCATATAGCTGTGCAATATGTCAGCAATGGTCGGGCCCTTAGCCTTGATTCTTGATAGGAATTTCCTTTCTCTGAGCTAGAGGGAAGTTGGTCCTGCAGACTTTCCAAAATGCCCGGGCAAGCTCTGATGGGCAACATACACACACGGCACAGTTGGTTCGTTCTGCTCAGAAAGATTGGGCAATGTAGGTGGAGGCTGGTGACCGAATATGGGCCAATGCCTGGGCCCTGGGTGGGTGGGGTTGGGCTGGTTGAGAGTGATAGCAGCAGTGATAGTGGAAAAATGACAGCAAGTCCCTATAAAGTGGACCCATTTTCTGTCTTGATTTTTAATATCAGCTTGCTGTGGCATGAGATTGGACTATTTTATGAACATGCAAAAGGAAGAACCCTGAAACAGAACCCACAATACTGTCAAAATCTCACAGCTGTGGATCCCATGGCAGACCCCGCCCTCAACAGTTTTCAGGTGTGTCCAATGACATGGATCGTAAATACCTCTCAGCACCCCAGACAGGCCAATGGGCTTTTAGGAGGTGTTAAGCTAGTGGGAGGGAACACAGATTCTGCAGGCCAGCTGGACTAAACAAGGCACTTAGAACTGCTTAGGGTATCTGCAAACCAGGATTTAGTTCTTTTCAGTCTTTCAGTTATGTTATGGGGGGAGCATCAAAACTACAGAACTCTGTGGGTCTTCAAAAGGGGGATCCTGTGGTGCAGCCATTGTGGAAACATATTAGCAGTTCCTCGAAAAGGTAAACATAGTAACTGTTTTGTTAGTTGAGATCACCTCAGGAGGAGCAGTGGTGGAGGATGGGGATAAGAAAGGTTGACCTGGCCTGGTGTGGTGGCTCACGCCTGTAATCCCAGCACTTTGGGAGGCCGAGGCGGGTGGATCACGAGGTCAGGAGTTTGAGACCAGCCTGACCGACCTGGTGAAATCTCGTCTCTACTAAAAATACAAAATATTAGCGGGACATGGTGGTGGGCTAATTACAAAAAAATTAGATGGGCATGGTGGTGCATGCCTATAATCCCAACTACTCAGGAGGCTGAAGGAGAGAATCGCTTGAACCTGGGAGGCAGAGGTTGCACTGAGCTGAGATGGTGCCACTGCCCTCCAGCCTGGGTGACAGAGCAAGACTCCAACTTAAAGAAAGAAAAAAAAAAAGAAAGGTAGACCTTTTTGGTTTAAATCAAGTAGACCCGCAGAGGCTGACTGCAGACTTTCTAAGTTCTGGTCCCTTGGTGTGTGGGTGAATGGGTGGACATAAGGACACACAACTGGAGTTTTCCCTTTTTTCATGTTAGGGAAAAACTCTCAAAAAATAAAATTCATAATATCTTAGGAGGCACCCCAGGAGTGTCTAAAGCAGGCTTCTTGAAACCTCAAAGAGCGAGGGATGAGAAGGGGCTCAGGGAATGAGTCTTTTCTTTTTTCCTTGTTAGATTTTTGTTTTGTTTTCATTTTAAGATTCTGGTGTGTGGGAATAATCTCACTGAAGAGCACAGTGAGTAACACTGGGTCAGTTTGTTTACTACACAAACACACACACGTTCATTTATAGAACACTATGGGATAGGGTGGCAAAGATGAATAACACAAAAAACCGGATTACCCTCCTTCCCCCACCCACAAGTTCCCAGTGAAGTGGGAGAGAGACACGTAAACATATAATTTACTGTTTCTTCTGGTGAGTGCTATACCAGAGGTGTGAGCCCACCACACACACACACACGGCCCTCTAAATAGAGCTACTCTTAACCATTTGCTCAGAAGCCCTAGTTCCAGAACACCCCCCCTTTTGTGTATTTGCATATATGATGACTTTTTGATTGAGGTAAAATTTACATAACATGAAATTAAGCACTTTGAAGTGAACAGTTCAATGGCACTTAGTACATTCACCGTGTTGTGCCACCACCACCTCTGTGTAGTTCTAAAACATTTTCATCAATCAGCACAAAGTAACACCCGGGACCTATTAAACAGCTACTCCCCATTCCTCCCTCGCCCACAGCCCCTGACAAGCACCAATCTGCTTCCTGTTTCTACGGATTTATGTATTCCGGATATTTCGTATAAACAGAATCGTCACATGACCTTCTGTGTCAGGTTTCTTTCACCTAGCATAATGATTTGGAGCTTCATCCATGTAGAGTAGCATGTACCAGTACTTTCTTTTTCATGGCTGAATAATATTCCATTGTGTACTGCAATTTGTTCATCCAGTCATCTGTTGGTTTTTTGTTTTTGTTTTTTTTTTTTTGAGATGGAGTCTCACTCTGTTGCCCAGGCTGGAGTGCAATGGTACGATCTTGGCCCACTGCAACCTCCGCTTCCCGGGTTCAAGCAATTCTCCTGCCTCAGCCTCCTGAATAGCTGGGATTACAGGCACTCACCACTATGCCTGGCTAATTTTTGTGTTTTTAGTAGAGACGGGGTTTCACCATGTTGGTCAGGCTGGTCTCGAACTCCTGGCCTCAGCCTCCCAAAGTGCTGTGATTACAGGTGTGAGCCACTGCACATGGCCCATCCAGTCATCTGCTCATGGACATTTGGGTCGTTTCTGCCTTCTGGCTAGTAATGAATAGTGTGCTATGGACATTCACATATAAATATTTGTTTGGGTATTTGTTTTCGACATATACCTAGGAGTGGATTTGCTGGGTCATAGGGTAATCTTATGTTTAACTTTTCAAGGAACTGCTAATACATGTTCCACAATGGCTGCACCCCAGCATCCCCCTTTTGAAGACCCACAAAGTTCTGTAGTTTTGATGCTCCCCCATAACGTAACTGAAATACTGCAAAGAACTGAATCCTGGTTTGCAGATACCCTAAGCAGTTCTAAGTGCCTTGGTTGGTCCAGTTGGTCAGAAGTTGTGCTAATGAGGCTAAGGTCAGGGTTCAATCCCCACTCTGACCCATTAGCTGAGCAGAGTGGTGGACAGAGTGAAGAATCGCATCTTCCTGCCACATGCTCCACCATCCAGTCCTGCCCTCTTGCAAAAGCTTGTTAGTAGTCACAGGGGAATGGAGCAAGGCTGTATTTATGGTTCCACATAAAAGGGGGGAGAAATCTATCATCCAAAGTCTCCTGAAGGCGCAGTGGCAGGAACTTGCAATCAGATGATTCCTTTCTTCCAGTCCCAGTGTCACCTGGTTTCCACGGGCCCCTTTAAGTAAATTGCTTAACCCTGTACAGAGCCTCAGTTTCCTTACCCTAAAATGGGAATAATAATCCTCACTCACTAGGGATAAGAATGCGTATAAAAACTGCACGCAGTTTTTGCTTGGTTCTTACTGGCTTCCTATAAGAACCCGAAGGGTGGGCAGCCTCATTCTCCCCTGCAGCAGCCCACTGGCTTCTGCAGTCTGCTCTTTGCTGCTCTCCGGAGGTTGACTGAGCTGGAATGGTGGTGCCCTGTGGACCAGAGGGCTGCTGGCTGTTTTAACTTGTCCTATTTGCGTGGAACGAAGCTTGCTATGGTAACAAGGTGGCTGGAATCCAGGGCCCCAGTGAAAAATGCAAAGCCTGTGCTCTGGGAGAGAAAGAGGAGCTGGAAAGGGCTTATCAACCTCAGGTTACCTCCGTTCTTCTGGGAAGACGGGATGGGTAAACTGAGGCAGCAGGGCTCAACTCTTCTATTCCCAGCAGAAGGAAGGGAAGAGGCCCCATTAACGCATTCCTTATCACCCAGCCTCGTCTCTGTCCCCGCCAATATTCAGCCCAGCTAAGAAGCTTAGGAGCTGGCTAAGGCTGCCCCTCCACCTGGGTGCACACGCAGGGCTCGGGCTGTGAGGAGGCGGGAGCCCGGGCGGCCCACGCCGAGGAAGGTGGGCCCTCCCTCCGGGGTGGGCAGCGCAGGTCCGGGCGGCCGGTGTGGGCTGGAGAGTAAGAAGCACGCGGGGCACCAGCTCTGCTCCCCTCTGAGCATTTCGTACTCTCAGTTTAAGGGACCGGCGGAGCACGAACTCCACTCCCGAGCTGGCTCCAGCTGGCCCCTCCCCAGGAGACCCACCCCTGCCTCCCTCTGAGGCCCCCTTTCCAAGCACCCTCTCTTCGGAGCACCCAGCGCCTCCCCGACCCTAGCACCGCGCGGGGCACCGGTGCTCCAGGGCAGGGGCTGCCCCACCGCTCCAGGGAGGGGACGGAGGGTCGGCCTCGGTCCAGGCGATCCCCCGCCCCAAGCCAGGGGCGCCACCTTGGCCCCCTCCCGGCTGCCACCCGCCGCTCCCGCCCCCCAGGGGGTGTGTCCCCGAAGGAGGGGGTCGCGGGAGGCCTAGGGTGTCCCGGGCCGCCGACCCCAGGCCCCCTCCCGAGCGGGCGGCGAATGGTAGGCTCCATTTAAAGAGTGCCTGGCGGCGCGCGGTGTCCTCCGAGCAGCTCTCAGCGCCCGCCCGCCGGGGTCTCGGCGATCGCTGCTCCTCCTCCTCATTCTCCTCCTTTTTCTCCTCCTCCTCCTCCCCCCGCCGCCTCGCCACCGCCGCGGCTCGGGCTGGAGGCGCCGCTGTCATTCCTGCGCTGGAGGAGCCGGCGCTGCCGGTGCCTGGGGGTCGGGGCGCGGGCGAGCCGGGCCGCGGGGGACCCAACAGGTAGAGCCGGGGGTGCCCGGCCGCGCGCCCCCCTGCGCATCATGCAGCTCTTTGTCACCTCTCTCGCCCCCAGGCCAAAATCCTGAGCATGATGGAAGACAATAAGCAGCTCGCGCTCCGCATCGATGGGGCGGTCCAGTCGGCCAGCCAGGAGGTGACCAACCTGCGAGCCGAACTCACGGCCACCAACCGGAGACTGGCGGAACTGAGCGGCGGCGGCGGCCCCGGCCCGGGCCCGGGAGCCGCGGCTAGCGCCTCGGCGGCGGCGGACTCGGCGGCGACTAACATGGAGAACCCCCAGCTCGGAGCGCAAGGTAGGATCGCCCCGGCGCCCAGGGCGGAGGAGGGCGAGCGAGCACGCCGGGCCCCGGAGGCGGCTGGGGACGCGGGGTCCCCCACGCCCGGGGCGGAATCGCTTTGCACTGTGGCAGATAACCCTTTCTGCCCGGTGGTGGTCACCGCGGCTCCCCGGCCGGGAGTTGCAGGCTGCTGTCATTCACGAAAACCCGGGCGCAGCGTGCACGGGGTCACACGGTCACACCGACCCCGGCCAGCCCCAGTGAGGCGCAGCGGGCGGGTCCCTTCCGGCAGCAAGAGTGCCCTTTCCATGGCACCAGCCCCCAGCTCCGGGCAAACTTTTCATGGCGGGGCCTTTCCCCCCACCCCCTGCTGGGGTGAATGGCACAGTTTCCCCCACTTCCGAAGGCTCCTTCCTTTGGAATGAGTCTTTCCGGGAGAGTGCTCCGGGCTCTGCCTCCGTGGTTGGGATAGAGGATTGGACTGCTGTGCGCTTTTCTCCGCCGATGCCAAATCCCTTGGCTCAATTGCATCTGGACTTTATTTTCTTCCCATTTGAGGTCTCGCAGGCGTTGGAATCTATGGATGCAACAGTAGATGCTCAGCTCAGCAGGGAGTTTAAATTTCAAGCAAATATGTACACCTAGAGCGCTTTTGGGGGGTGGATATTGTAGACCCCAAAGGTTGAGCGATAGAGAAATGAAGGTTTAGGGTAGTGGGCTGCAGGGAGCCCCTGTTTGAAGGGACTCTGCAGTTTAGAAGGAGAAAAAGACGGTTGGTTGGTTTGTGTTCACATTGACAGAGATTAAGCTCTGAAGCCCCCTGCAAGACATAAAGGCCGATGGGGCATCCTTAAAATGTGCTGTTTGGTTTCTGTGACTTAGAAAGAAAAAGGGTAAGCAGGCTTTAGGGTATTTTTTTTTTTTCTTTTTGCCTAATTGCCCTTTAAGAAACAGTATCATTGGTTATTAATATCATTTGAATTGCAAATTAAACTGCTGAAATCCAGAACAGGACAGAAAAAAATCTCCAGTCCATGAGGGCCACTTGTATAAATATGTCACTTGATGAAGTGTAAGGTACCAATTGCTCAGTGGCTCAAAATGATTTTCTGGTTCTGTTGTCGTTCCAAGAGCTTCTCTTGAGTGTTGAGAGAGTTTGTTTTCCTAAGAATCTGGTTCTCTCCATCAGTCTCTGTTTCCACCTTATCTTCCTGGGAAGGTGTGCTTTCTTTGATGCGAGATTCGAAGGCAGCACATGTGCAGTTTTCTGTCGAATTCCGGGTCAGATCTTAACTTGGTACTCCCGGAGCCTGTCGGAAGTCTTAGGAACTGGGGGGAGTACTTTGATAAGGAAGTAGCCATGACGTAATGGTGAGAAGGTGTTGTGGTCCTAGTGCTTGCTGCAAGTGTGACTTTGGTTATTCTTGTCATTTATCCCTTGCAATGTCATTGTGTGTGAAAGAACATTCTCCACTGGAACCTGTGTAAAAAAAGAAGAGAAAGGCAGACTGCAAGGTAATGCTTCACTTTTTATAGGCAGAGGCTCTGCTAACATTAAAGAAACAGCTAAGAACTGGCATTTTGCTAAGAATCGAAAGCTGTATGGTAAAGGACACCGAACAATGCTCGTTTATTTCCCACCTTCTGCCCCTTTCTCAGCCAAGGAAAAGTTATGTGGCTTATTATCTGAGTCCTCGGTCCAGTTGTACACCGGGCATGCTAAGGAAGTCGACGCAGTGATGATGTACACATGCTCAACTTGGAAACTCAGATACTGGAGGCTGGTCAAATTGTTGTAGTAGAGCAACAAGGGGCTACTGCCTTGTTCTTTTTTTCCTTCGCAAATGCACAAGGCTGTGGAAATGGAAATGGCTTTTGGATCTCTTGCTGTCTTTAAAAACACATGGTCCTAAGAGCCTACCAGCAGCTCCCTTATGCTCTCAGGACCGTGCCGGCCCCTGTCAGTGGCTGTCTGTGGGTGGTAGAATGAAGGGTGGTCTGGATTTTTCCTCTTTGTACAGTGGCATTTCTCAAAATCTTTACTAGGGGCACTTTGTGATTTTATAATCAGAAAATAAAAGGTTTAAAAGGTTTAAACTCTACTTGATTGTTGGCCACATAACCGTCTAAATTGTTGTTCATTTAAACAGATGTGATGGTTGAAAAGAAAACAAGCCCCCCATATAAGTTCAGTGGGGTGTCATTTACTTGTCCATAGCAATAGTACATGATACATTATTTCACCTCTGTAGGTTCTGGGGATTTTTTTTTTTTTTTTTAATGTTTTGGTTTTTCTTTTTCTCAGGACCTGTGGCTAGCATAGAAAACCCTCTGCAGGGGTGGTCGGGTAGTTTCTTTTGCCGTTGCTTTCATTATCCTAAAAGGAAGCTTTGAGTTGTCACAGGTTAATTTTAAAGTGCGGTTGATGGGGTTCCACCTACAGGGAGGCTCCCAGAGGCTCAGCTCCTCCTGGCTTCTAGCTGTTCTTCCAAATGAATCTTGTGTTTTCATTTGGTCTGTGTTGATGCAACCCAAGGGTCGAGACCCTTAGAGTATTTCAGTGCTATTGAGTCATCAGTTTTCAAATCAAGGTTTTGAATAAAATGAGTATCTTTCAAAATGCAACCGTGTAAGTCATCTTTTAACTAAAGGGCATTATGTACATATTAAATGCATGCTAATGTACCTTTAATAATATTAGTACAAACGGTTATGGGAAAGAGTCACCTTTTGCTTCCTCTGCCAAGAGATTATTAGATTCATTTTCAAATGTTTTTTTGTGGTTTTAAAATTCTTTTTTAAAATGAATGGAGCAAGCTCATCCATCCATCATTGGATGTTTTGTTCCAGGGATGACAATGGCAGAAGGTAGGTAGGTGTCCCCTTTGGATGCAGAAACCTTGAGTATTTCCTAGAGGGTTAATGCAGTGTATCATTTAAACAAAATATTAACTTGGTTGGTACCCCCTGTGAGCTGGCGTGGTTGCTATGTAACAGAAGCTAGAAAGTGAACTGCTGAAAATCTGGGCTTTCGGCACTTCGGAGGATATTCTTTCGGAATCTGTGTTGAAGGAACTCCTGGCAGCCAGCCCATCTTGTCTCTCCGTGCTGCAAGTGAGTTGGGTAATCCTTAATGAGAATGCTGGCATCCAGTGCAGAGGGTGTCCGTGCAGGGTGGCACATATCGCAGCGCCAGAGGCTGCCTTTTGGGTTGGTGGGGTCACGACAGCCTTTGACAGGTGGACAGAAGGAGGCTTGGAAGGAGCAGAGCCAAGCGTTTGTTCCAGTTTGTCTTGTTGTTGGTAGCCAGAGAAGGGATTTGTTTAAAGTAACATTTCTAAGCTGTTTCCCTCAGCATAACATCGCTGGGAAAATGTGTTTAAAATGCTTGCTGTTTCTTTGAGGGGAAAATAGAGCAGTTTGTTTCTCTGAAAATGTTTTATCTGATGAATGACTAATATTAGATTCAATTGGTTGCTTTGCTATTCATAGAAGAAAACAATTAAGTGCTATCATACCCAATTCAAATAGGTGTTAACTGTATCTAACAAAATTCTTAATGCCCAGTAGGATGTATGCCTACTGTCCTTAGCTTTTTCTTTAAGAAATAATTGTATTTGTATTCCTATGCAAGTGAACGTGTTGATAGCATCTTTCTGTGGTTTTGAGGACTTCCTGTCTACTGCATTTGTTAGAATGGGATGGAGGAGAGGGTCATTTTCCTGTACCTTTGGACGTTTCCATAAGTACATGCAAGTTGTATTTTTCTCTCCAGGCGTTAAAATAGGCTGTTACTTAAGGTCTGACAGCTCTCATCTACCATGACTGCAACACTGGAAACTCTTTGGTGAAGCATAAATTACCTCTGGAGTGAACTGAATGTGTGAGTAGTCTGTGGAGACGCTAGACACTGTCATTTTGCAAAATAAGTTCTGTCTTTCGGCATCCCCTTCTCAATTCATTCTGCCTCTGCTCTCATTTTCCTAAGTAGACTTTGATCGTTTTGGAGAAAGAGAATTTTCAAATGGCAGAGAGGATGGAACAAAATGCTGGGGAGTCTCGGGACTTCTGTTAGCTTGCCACTGAGTGACAGAACTCATCGAGTAGCCTGTGCCTTGGTTTCCCAGACAGATCAAGGGGCTGAAATTGAGTGTGTCTTTTCCTAACTTGGTAGGCTGCCATCAGATGGGGATTCAGACTTCTCCCTGAAAATTATCATGCATGGTCACAAAGAGATTAGTTACAGATCAGTACAGTGTGGTTGAAATTACTTATTGATTGGGGATTATTTACTATCTTTCCATTGTCTTTGGAAAATGCCTTCAAAGGACCTCTTAAATCAAGTCTCTGGTTCTGGTTAATTTCATGCTTCCAGCGTGCGCTTCATGATTTTTAGTGGTTTTCCAACACCTCTTTGACGCACCTCAGAAGTCTGGGCTGACCTGACTTGTATATGGCAGGAGCCTGGTCACATAGCTTCTCAGGGTAAGGGATGATAGGCCCGCTCCCTCCCTTTACCCTGTTACTCCTCAAGAAGACTGCTGGCAATTTTTAGGAATCCTATAGGGTTATAATGTGTGACTTCCTGGCTGCCAGTGAGTTTGTAGCAGATGGGCTTGGCAGGTGGCAAGAGCTCACTGGAACTTTGCCTGCTCACCGTGCACGTCATATGGAGCCCAGAAGGTCAAGCTTGGGATTTGGCCACATTCACTGCATGTTTTCTTTACATATTATGCATCTATATATTCATTCCTGGGCTATATAGATAGGGACAGTGACATCAACATGAAGTCCTCTGTTCTTTCCATACCTTAAAGGTTTGCCTAAACATTGGTCCCTGGCTTCTTACACCCTGCCATATATCAGGCAAGAGCAAAACTCATTCTGCCTGCTGAGCCCAGGAATGGGTTTTTAAGTGATGTTGCACATGGAAATAGGTCTCAGTGTCTGGGCTGCATATTAGGGTGAATAGCACATGATATGGCAGGAGTGTCACTGCCAGCAGTCATTGCACT